AGTCATTTCTCTTGTTAACTGTTTTCTTTGTTGTTCTGAGACATTGTAGGTCTTAAAAACTAAAAAATAAAATTACATTGTGATCCAATAATCCTACTTTTGAGCAAATATTCAAAGGAATTGAAATTGGTATGCTAAAATTACATTTGTATTAATGGATGACCAAATAAAGAAAATGTGGTATGAATGCACAATGGAATGTTATGAATTAGAGAGTAAAGTGATAGAAACTAGAAGCTAGAGTTAAGGGATGAGGATGGAGAAAGGAGGATGTCACTCAAAGTCTAGGATGATACAATAGAAAGGAGGAGCTAGGACTCAGGGCTGAGAATGGAGGAAAGGAAGGTGTTAAAGTCTAGTGTAGGCTAGAGGAATAGCTGCTGATAATCGCTTGTGCCGCATGAAACCACATTGAATATTGATATATTATATAGTTCAAAATTGCTAAAAGAATAGGAGGATTTTGAACTTGTTTTTAGTGTTATGGGTTGAATTCAAAGCCTTGTATATATTAGTCAACTCTCTTCTAAGCTACATACCTAGCCTTAAAAACAGATTTTTATGTTTTCTTCACAAAATGAGTTGCATTAATTAAGCATAACTGAGTATCTTTTACAATGTGCATATGAGCCAAATCATCACATTGTACCACCATCATATACCACTTGTTAATTAAAATACATAGATGTATGTATATTAGAAAACAAGAAACATTGCTGACTATGGTGCATATTAACTTACAAGATGCTAAAAATTACCTTTGACAAAGCATGAGAAGTTTAGCAGTGCTCTTGGACCTCTTTTTTATATTGTGCTAGAAATGATTGCTCCTAACCATTCTCAGTCCCATAACCTCAGTGTACACAGAAGTAATATTCACAGACCTTGTCTTAATTTAAATCAATGTTCATAGGTACTTATCTTACATTTATTATTATTACTATTATCATCAGTGTGTGTGTGTGTGTGTGTGTGTGTGTGTGTGTGTAGGTCAGAGCATAACTTTGTGAGTTGATTCTTTCCTTCTTCCTTTATTTGGACTCCGGAGATTGAACTCCAGTCATGAGGCTTTCCTGGCAAGCCTTTTACCCACTAAATCATCTCACTGGCTATGGATAAGTTATCTTTAAGATGTGCTGACTATGGTGAATCTTCAACCTTGGAACAGTATTAGAAGCTTTCACCCCTGGAAAGAGCCAGGTTGTGCTTTTATAGCAACAGCTCTTTGGCTGAGAGCTCTGTTAAATAGGCTTTCTGAAAACACAGTCATCTGAGTAGCCATGTAGTGGACAACCACAAATCTGGGAATAGAGGGGAAAGCTGAAGCCTGTACTTTGTAGACTGAAATCTTACAGTTCTTACCCTTGATAGTGGGAGGTCACAGGTTTTGACCACACAAGGAGAATCAAAACCAGTTGGGAATGAGAGGATAAGCATATCTGTGTGTGTAAATCATCAGGATTTCTCTGGCTAGAACTCTGGACCATACTCAAATACTTACACAATTTTAAAATTTGTGATCTGTATCTCCAATATTCATGGTATGCTAGAAGGACTTGTTTTTACCTCTCAGGTAAAAGTAGTATGTGCAATCCTTAGCATCTAGTACAGCAATGGGCTTTCACCCATTAAAAGTGATGCTTAGACTACTGGTCTCTTATGCAGGTGTAGATCCTGTAAGACATGCCAAACATTAGGAAAGTTATTGGTCTGTAAAAGCCCCAAGGAACCCTCAGTGAGGGGAAGAAATGATGGCATGATGAAATACTCTAGGACCTTATAAGGAAATTAAGGACAGAACAGTAATTACTTCACAGCCATGGTTACTTACCTATTAGAATGGGAGTATATTAATTTGTTTTTATTTTCGAAATTGGGGCATGCTATGTATCTGAGGCTGGCCTTAAACTACCTTTGTGGCAACAGGAAATCCAGACTAATCTTAAACTTCCCAAATGCTGAATAACAGGCCTGTTTAATGACGTTTGTCTGTAGTTTAAACTTCAGTATACTGAGGAGCATAAATATGAAGCTAGGATGAACCAGCCCATTCTCAGATTGTTCTTACTTAGATAGACACATTTTCAGTTTTGTTTCTGGAAAGGCCATGTAAAATTTCATATTCCTTTAGATTACTCTAAGATGAACCTGTTGAGAAAAATGACAGGTATAATAATGCATCAATAATTTTCCTTGGATACAGCAAGCGATCACAGGTTACTATGAATCCGAATGATCGGCAATGTTTGTTCAGGAAGCCTGGAACTTTGTAAGATTTCTCCTGGTTATAGTAGCTTAGCCTCAACAGATGATTCATCATGCCCAGATTCTGATAATCCCTTTGCTCCCAGTAAACTTTCATTAAATCACAAACATTTGTTAAATTTTTGCCACCAGAAACAATGGTGACTAAGAATTTATGGCTCTCAATTCCAAATTAAAGCCCCTATGATTTTAGTTGTTGAAAAATAAACATGGTGGTTGGGTCCATAGCTTGGTGACAACATTCATAAATAGTGTGCCAGTATTTGGTTGGATTACTAATGTTGGAGGGAAAAGTAAGTTAGAAAACATTAGAGGGGGGATGGGTAGCCCAAGAATAGGTAGAAGTAATGGAGGCATGAACTTCCCTAGTTCTCTGTGGACATCTGTGCTCAAATGATTGTGGGAAGGTATTTGAGAATGCCGACATCCTGAGCAAACCAGAAGGTTTGATGTTCGTATGATTTGTGATTAGCTGAAAATTGTCATAGTCTCTGTGGAATGCCTATAGATATGTATGTGCTAAGGAAAGTCTTGGTAGACTTCCATGTGACAACTGGCAGAGCTGTGGTTGAGTGCACTGCTAAGTTCATGAAGGGTCCAGATTATCTGAATGTCCCCTTTGCTCATTCTTTTGTGAGGGACTACTTTTATCTATGTTTGGTTACCAGAGACTCATGGATACCAGTCCTACATAAATAGACATACTGAGTTTTTGTCTTACCTTGCTGCCCAACTCTACATGGCATTAGTTAGGTCATATCTTCTTCAGAAAATCATCTCTTTGTGGTGAAGCAATGACTAGAAGATTCTGACTCAAGCACTCAATGCCCTCTGGTGTTATTTCCACATTTCTAAACTTAATGGAAATCAGACAAGGATCCAGATGTATTGTTACTTAGTACAATGTGTTTCTTATGGACAGTGATTTGCAAGCCCTGAGAACCTATTATAGAAATTCTCAAATGAGTTCCTGGGATGAACACTGTCTCAAAGGGGTGATGATCTTCAGCTCACATGTTTTGTTTGGAACGAATATACCATCAAGAATATTGGAAAAGTAATGTGTGTGTTCCATGTTTAATGATTTGACAAAATTTTTCAAAATCAAATTCCTTTAAAAAGCATTTGAACTTAGACTTTTACTATCATCTGCTGATGCTACTATTTTGGTGTCTAAGTGTGGTCCAGCATAGGAGTCGGCAGCATTATCTGGAATAGTCAAATCCTTGGGTAGCAACAAGAGACCAATGGAATAAGAAACTGGGACCATGAGGCTACTTTTATAAGCTCTCCAGGAGATTTTGTTGTTGGCTAAAGTTTGAGCATGGAAGCTGTCAGAGAAACTTCATAACCACCATCTTACTCAATTCCCATCATGATTCTGTGAGTGCCACTTGGACAAAGTACATTCATTCCTATTTGACACAAAGTGACCATTCAGCCGATATGAGTTGATATGAGTGACTTGGGATTCTGTAACCATTTGGATATTTGTGCCTTACTTCTTAGAACTTCCTGTATAGCATGCAAACATGGAATCAGCATTCTCCTCCACTGAACTCACCTGTTTTACTGCCTATTAGGGAGGAAGTCTCATCACCAATGTTCTTAAAGTCTTCCAAGACAATTTTCTTATTTATTGTTAATTTGATCAAAAGGATGACTGTGCCTTTTATATGTAGCTCACATATTTTTTAAAGGGGGCACAAATGGTAGAATGTGTCTTAGCAAATGTTTTGCAAAAGAAATTCAGAAATATAAAAAGGAAGGAAAACTTAAACTCACACATGGTTTTATTACTCATTAACATTTAGTTTGTTTAGGTGAGCTACAATTTGTAGAAATGTGGGATCATGGCATAAATGTTGTTTTTTGAACTTTTCATTTTAATATATCTATGTATCTTCATTGTATTTGTATGTCTATAAATACTATTAATTTTAACAGCCAGAGTTCTTCAGAGAGGATGCGATCAATAATATTTATCCCCCAATACCAGTATCATATCTATGTACCCATCTATGTATGTATCTATGTATCTATTATTTATCTATCTTTCTCTATATCCATATTTATGATAGAGTCTTATTTTTAGGACTTGGGTTACAAAATTATGGAGGCACCAAAACCCCGAATCTGCAGACTTAGTAGAAGGCTGTAGATATGATGAAAGGTGATATTAATGTCAAATTTAAAGGCAGTCAGCTGGGAGAATTTCCTTTTCTTTCTAAGGAATAATCAGTCATGTTTTAAGTCTTCCACAAATGAGATGCGGCCATACAACAGCAGGCAATCTGCTTTACTTAATTCTACTACTGCTTTGAATGCTAATTTTATCTAAAAGTACCATAATTGTAACATCCAGATTCCTTTGCCAAAATATCTTGGCACAATGGCCTAGACAAACTGATACAAAAATTAACCTTTGCAACAGTGCTATCCCTAATGGGTGTGCGTATTTCATTTTATATATTTATTAGATACAGTATAACCAGTACCCCAAGATGGTAATTCAGGTTGCTCTCAGTATTTCCACCTGCAGCTATAGCACATCCTTTGTTACTTACTTATTTCTTTTTACAATATACAATAATACAATGAAAATCAATACATGTGCTATTTATTTATTTTTAAAGATTTGAGTTTATGCAGGTGTCTTTTCCTCTTGAACAAAACCCCAGTCTAGGAGAAGGAGCTGTGCCAGGTCTATATTGATTATCTCCTTTCCACTCCAGCCTGTCAGACCATGGGAACTGGCATGATGCTGAGTTCTTGGGCTACCTCCTCAATAGAAGAAGTGGCAGAGGCTGGCCCTGAGGCACTTCGCTGGATGCAACTGTACATCTACAAAGACCGCGAGGTCAGCAGACAGTTAGTGAAGCGAGCTGAGAAGATGGGTTACAAGGCCATATTTGTGACCGTGGACACACCTTACCTGGGCAACCGCTTTGATGACGTTCGTAATAGGTTCAAGCTGCCACCACAACTCAGGTAAGTATGAGCTCACAGTCTCAGAGTGGTTTTTCTCTTTCCCTTTCATGGGCCGTCTCCCAAGGCTGCCTTTCTTTTTCTAGTTTGCAAGTAGATACTGTAGATAAGTAAATCTCCATAGAGACATTAACCTTAGAACATGGTTGAAAGGATCTCATTGGGAATGATAGGCTCTGTGATCTAGAGAAGGCCACTGCCATACATCTGTATAATCTCTAACAAACAATGATGCTTGGAGATGTCACATATTTGAGCTCTTACAACAGGAGGGATTAATATATATATTTGCAAAATTAAAAAATGTATTACCAGCATGCATTAAGGCTTTGGGAAATATGAAATAGCATACAGATGAGTTTTGTATAGGCTACAGTTTTTTTTTATTTGTGATCCTGGTGCCCTATTTCTTCATGGAAATCAAAGAATCACATTCATATTTCAATTTTAGTTGTATTCGGAGCAGACAGGGATAGAAAGATGTAAAGAAAGAGAAAACCATGGAGGAAAAATAAGTCATGTATTTGATCCTTCATCTACTTCATTTTATGTTCCTCCTTCATGTGGTTCATTCATGGATTGAGATTTGGTCACTCAGTCATTCATATTAGTAAAACCCATTCATCACATAATCTAAACTTGAACTATAATGATTTCATTGGGACATTTAGCCTATGATTAACTTTTAATCATCCCTCCCTTGTAGCATTTTAGGAGTAGAAGTAGCCTGAGTAAAAGCCAGGACCAGTGGAGCTCAGTGAGAAAGGACTTCAGGTTCATTCAGCTATACTCTACGTGTCTTTCCTTATTGCTTTGTCCTTCCATATTTTATACCAACAGGGCCTCTTATAGTTTTCATACCAGTTGTGACAGATATGGGACAGCTCTTGGGTTATATGCATCTGAACAGACATCAAACCCTTGTCTTAGTGGATGGCATTTGGTGTTGGGTGTCAGTGGACGCCTTCCAAGAGGTGCTTCATTCTACAAGGGCTGCTGCTCACTCTGTTTACACTTTGTTTGTGTTTGGAACAAGTAGGACTTTAAAGATTGAAGAAAGATAAAAGGATAAAAACAAAGCATTCTTAATTTGCCCTCTGAAGGAATTCAAAATTGACAGATGAAAAGCTCCCATAGGGAGAAACAGATTATTGGAATTGTGACTTCATATGTATTTTAGACAGTCTTGTGTAAGGACCAAAGAATTGCTATTTCCCATAGCCACCACTATATCTATGAGACTTTTTAATACCAAGCATAAGATTTGCTGTTGTGGGGTCTATCAACTGGTGATGTAATAAGTGGGAATGCTTGCCACTCTCAGACAGATTTGGGGATATTATTTCTGCATGTGGTTCCTCTAGTAAGCTAAAGAAAGGCTTGGCATTAGGGCTGGAGTACAGATCTGATGGGCAGGCTACCCAGATACCACATAAAGGTGAAGAGAACAAAAGCAAAACCTGCAGCTCCTGATATAACCCTAAGCCTGCCAGATTCACCAGAAAGCTAACTATTTACACCTTCTCTAAAATGCAATCTGCACTCACCTTCTTTTTTATTTTGACTGCCTATTTGTTTTTGTTTTTTAGACTTTCTAAAATAATTAGTTTCACACTGCCACAGTTTCCTACCGGAAACTCTCCTTATTTCCCTTTGGTCGTTTGTGAGGGAATGGCCCCTCCTCTCTTTCCCTAATGGCAAGGCTATTAACAACAATGATAGTAACAGAACCATGGAGTTTGCTTTGTCCTTCCTGCTATGGGTATCTAGTCCTGTGGGCAGGAGGACACCTTAATGTATCCAGGTTGGAACCCCTTGCTTCTCAGCAAGGAGGTGACTGCAGGATTAGCCACAGGCCTAACCCCTCCCCCCTCTTCCTTTGCCCCTGGACTACTGCCCAGATGATGTGGTGGTTGAAACAAAGACCCCTTTCAGTTGCTAGTGTTCACAGGAATGGCCCTGGGTTTCCAGCTTGTCACAGCTCCGTTTTGAAGACGATCAAATCACGTGCAACACATCCAGGTTATGGGGAACAGAGAACCATCCTGCAGCTAAGCACACCCCACAGTGGCCTGCACACTGGTGGGGGCTTGTCCTGCGCGTGTCAGGGAAGCACAGCGCTTCTGCCCAGCACCTCAGGGGTCCACACTGAAGACAGAACATACAAACTGGAGGTCTAGCCTTCTACTTGAGGCTTCATTCACCCCCCACCAAAAAAAAAAACCCTCATCTGTTAACAGCCCTATATGAAATCAGTTTCTTTTTGCACTGACCTGACTCATAGAAGGTGAAGCCTGCTTTTCAGAAGTGAGGTTTGGCAAGGGAGGGAGACAGGAAATCCAGGGGAGAATGAGTCGCTAAGCCTGGCTCCTTCCAGCCTTTGCTACTTCCTCTGCCCGGGGTGGAGGGGAGGGCCCTGACTCTTGGCACCCGGGAGCAGAGAGAGTTCAGAGGGTTGATAATGGCCACTTGGTCTATATGCAAAACATATGCGTGCATGCACATTACAACTGGTATGAAAGTGAGAGGCAAAAGGGAAATCCTCCACTCTGGAAGAAGCAGGGACAAAGTCAGTTAACCATGCAAATTCCGGAGGCTGAGAGGCAGGGGCATTTTGTCTTGTCCATGTTCTGCTGAGACGATTCGTCTACCTGGGTTAAGAATAGTCTCCTCCCCTTCCACTCCTGCTTTGCCCACAGTTTCAGAAAGTTTATAGAAAAGTGGCAAGAGCAAATAATTGTTAGGAATACACACCGAGGCCAAAGGTGTCCACACCCGAACCCTCAAACCTGCTACCTTCCATGAACTTGGCAGAGGAGATGGAATTAAGGATATTGAGACAGGAGATGATCAGGTTTTATCACAGCAGAAATTATAAGCAATGAAGAGTTTTCATTAGGGAAAGGAGTAATGTCAGCCAGAGGAGGAGTTGAGATGATAAAACGAGAGTTTGGAAGCATGTATCCAAGAGGCTGGGCTGTCCACTCAGAGAATAAGTGAGAACTTAGAGAACAAGTGAGGTAATCAATCTATTCTTCTCTAGACAGGCAGAGGGACTGGACACCCAAGGATACCTTGAGTTGAGCTCAGTGAGAACCATTTTGTTCTTCCAAATGTAATACATGTGTAACATGAGATGTTATTTTTTAATGTGTATGGGTGTTTTGCTTGCATGTGTATCTGTGCACCATGGTGCCCTAGTGAGGTCAGAAGAGGGCTTTGGGTCCTTTGGAACTAGACTGCTGTGAGCTGATGTGTAGGTGTCAAGAATTGAAACTGGGTCTCAGAAGAGCAGCCAGCACTCTTCTCAGCTAAGCCCTATCTCCAGCCCCAAATTTGCGACATTAGACATTGTGAGGCTGCATTTGTGGTCATGTGTTACAACAACAATGGCAAAACAAACATTACCCTATTGAGTTCATCTTTATAGTAGCTTTGCAATGAGATCTGCCCTTGTGACCACACTTCAAATATCAGTGTGAGCCTCTGCCAGTTGGCTTGCTTCCTCTTCTCTCCCCTTGACCCCCTTTATTGTACTACATTCCAACAAAGTTGACAATTTACACATTGACTATTTCTGTGATGGATGGAGATCTTTTGCTCTCTTATTCACTGGCATTTACTAAATATCTAGAAAACTGATAGACATAAGTGCTTAGCATGTATTTGTCTAATCAGCATATAAAAGTCTACTAACAGATTTGGGATTTTCCCAAAATAAAATAACTAGGAAAAAGTTGAATAGGATTAGAACTCCAAGTTTGTGGCCTCAGTCTGTCGTTAGACCACCTGGCCACACTGAGGAGGAAGTGACCAGGATATGTTCTGAACATTGCTTTCCTAACCACAGAAGAAAGGCTAGCTGCCTGTCCCCATCTCATGCAAATTGTGAATTTCTCCTTCTTTCCATACTCTGATGCTATTATGAATTTAGCTTATTTTTATTTTGTTTTACTTTATTTTTGGAATTTTCAAAACAGATATGTGGCTTCATCCTTAGTATTACATTGTCAAAATTTTGAAATCATATGTTACCATCGATGCTTATCCTTATTAGTCATACTATTGGTTATTTAAACATACTTACCTTAGTAATTATTATTTTTCCTTGACACTAATTTCTAAAATCAGAATCAATTTCTATGTTAGACTAAAAACTATATTAAGGGATACCCCAGGAATAACAATTCCCTTACAAGCAGGAAATTTGGTCCCTTTGTGGCATTTTTCAGCTCAGGATTCTGAAAATTAAGCTCTAAATAGCTATGTTAATATATCAGTGTTGTCTTTTGCATTCCTTAACAAAATGAATATCAGAAGCTACTTTAAGGGTCACACAAGCATTCGCATGCACACACACACACACACACGTCATAATCTGAATAAAAATAGCATTCATGGCAGTTTATTTCAGAACCATCAGTAAAACACTCCATCGTGGGTTCTCTGTCAAGATATCTGAAAACTTTTTCTTGGCTTCTGGCTTTGAACAAAGTTTAGAGTCACAACAAGGCTTCATTGTACCCTGAGATTTCTGTAAGGCAACATTCATTCAAGTGTTGATCTGTATTGCACGGTCCAAGAATAACAACAGTTATTTATATAATTTTATCCATGTTTCTGTTTTTTCCTATCCATTTCACCCTTTCACCCACCCCTGCTGAAGCACAGCAGTCTGTTTGGTGTGGGGGCAGGGACATATGTAGATGGTTTCCTTTTTTCTCCTAGTCTGAGGCTGGGATAGATAGATTGCACCTTTTCTTTTAACAATATTTATGTTTGAAATTTAGTATCATTGAAGTAATGGGCTGAGTTTCCCTCCCAAGGATACATTTATTGAGCAGAAAGCTTAATTCAACTCAAATTAAGAATACCACAGAAGACCAGGACTGTGACATATTGTATAACTCTAAGTGTCTTGACAAATGGAAAGTTCACATAGTTCATCAAAAACCAACAGCTAGATGGGGGTCATGTATATGGGGTACTTTATATCTTTATGTCCATAAATGTACAGGAATTTGTGCAGTCCTACTGAGAAAACTGCCACTGATACCATGACTTTAGTAGGCTCATTTGGAATTGAAATTCCATATCTATGCGATGGTCTATGCGCTCTAACTACTCCATCAGTGATTTTAGCTGAAATGCTCTAAAGTGTAAACTAAGTATCATCCCGTATGTCTAAAAACAAGGTCTGAAATAGTTAAAAAAAAAAAGAATTCCTATATACTCCCATCTGTAGGCATGCAGTTTCAGTTATGGCTCAGGATCTTTTCCATGTTCAGTGGCAGAGCTGGTGGAGGGCAAATGAGCTGGGAGTAGTTTATAGGTGACACACAGCTGTGTTGTTACCTATAGGAAGAATGACTAGTGGGTCAGTTCAAATGTGCAGGAGAGCAAGTTGCCAATGACCCATGTGGTGTGTTTAGAACTGCAAGCAGAATGAATATTGCTTTAGCTTGGGAGGCCGTCCAAATACAGCCAAGAATGGCATGACAGGGCAAGAAAAAGGATATCAAGTATAGGGTGATCCAGCAGTTGAGTCTTGGTCATGCATTAGAGAACCACTTGATCAAACTAGATCAATATGGTAGACTAGGAGAAGGCAACAGCTCAGTGTTGGCATTTCTTGACTGTGGCTCCCTGGGGAGAAAATGGAGCCACTGGCCAAGTGTAAGTTGCTCTTTCAGTAGAGGAAGACTGTTAACATATAGGGAAGTGGGTGGCGGAGAGGAAGCCAGCAAATGGGGGATTTTGCAAAGATAGATGAAACAGTGGGCGACTGAAGTGCCTAATCCTGTGGGAACATTCTGGGAACACATACACACGACGTCTCAGAGTGAGTCTACTCACAGGTGCAGGAGTTGACACTTCCAGTTTGCTGGGTGGAAATGAAAGCGCAGCAACAAGAAAGAAAAGATGGTGGTTGGTGATCATCTGAAAGCCTAGGCCCTTGTCAAGGTTCTCTGAAAGACCAGAGTTTGAGCCAGTAACAGGCAACAGCTGAATGCAGGAGGGAAAGGCAAGACTCCTGTGCTGAGAACCACTTCTTGAGTCCCACAATACAACACATCTAAGCAAAGAATATATAGTTAGCAATCAAATGACCCAGGCAAGATCTCAAATAATGACCCTAGCTGGTTTTATTCCTGGGCATCTCATTCTGCACTTGGGTTACTGTTATCTACATGAAATGGGAATCACGGTGATTCAGTGTTACCTTCTAAAAGATTTTAAGGGAAGAAATACATAAATATGAGTATAAAAAGGCCATTTTTAAACCATAAGGCACCATGCAAATGGTTTCTATTATGCTGAATTTGCATAGCTGGCTGAAAATAGAATCCAGTCTATTGTCTGTGGCTATAAACTGGCTTAAACAGGAAATGTTTGAACATGGCTACACATTGATCCTTAGGAGTAATTTGTCTGAATAAACACACAAATGTAAATTCAGCTTTAGGTGGTCCGTTGAAATCACATGGCCACAGTTAGAACACACTCCTGCATCAAACCCTAGAAAATTTGCAGACTACCAACCCATGGGTGACTGAGTAACTTATCAGAAAGGGAACAATTTTCCCCTTATTTTCACCAGGTCAGATAGAAGCAGGGGTGAGCCCCACAATACTTTCTCTAATTTCCATTCTATGTATCTATTCTAGGATGAAAAACTTTGAAACCAATGATTTGGCATTTTCTCCTAAGGGGAATTTTGGAGATAACAGTGGACTTGCTGAATATGTGGCACAAGCCATAGACCCATCTCTCAGCTGGGATGACATTAAATGGCTCAGACGATTGACATCGCTGCCTATTGTTGTAAAGGGCATTTTGAGAGGTTTGTCATTTGTCTTCTTTGCTCCATATTGATTTTATGATCATTTCTGGATATGGTCATGGTGGCTTTTTAGAGAGAGTAATTGATAGGAAAATGGTATTACAGATTGAAAGATGTTTCAGCTCCCAATTCTCTCTTTCTCTCAAAACATTTGCTGTTATTTGTATATGTACATACGCCTTCATGTCTATTTGTAGCTTGTGATCACTTTCCCTAGGGCTGTTCCCTTAATCCCCCCAGCATCACTACCTTTTTTCTTGTCCATATGGATTATCTGGCTCATTTATATTTTACATATAATAGATAAAGTGTTAATAGGTAAAATGCTCATTACTTTCAATTAGAATATCTAATGAGAAAGCTCAAAAAACAAGATCAAGAGAGTAATGTTTGAAAGGAAGTTATTCATACATGTAAAGTTTATACTGTTTAGTTTTACTCTAACTGTTTGTTTCGCTTATTTATCAAACAAAAATCATCTCTATGACAACAACTGTATCAAGTATCACATATGCTCAGCCTGGATTGTAGGAAGAATTGAAGCAGTTCTGAGAAGCCAAGTCCTCATTGACTCACAGGTTTTTACCCAAAAGTCAGATGGACAGACTGGGAACAGTTATTTTCTCTTTACCAGAAGAACAGAGATTATATTTTTAGGAATGTGAAACTATGGGTAGTTGGGAAGTTTTAGAAGAAGCATCCACCCTTACTACCATTTTAAAAATTGCTTTCTATTGAATGTAAATTGGAATGCAAGATGTAATCTGTTGCTGTGGTTAAACTCTGTCCTGGGAGAACATTAACAAAGCCCCAAGGATGTGCTTCAGACGGGATTTGGTTTTCACTAGAACTCACGCTAACAAACAAATAGCATGTATGAGCAAAGGCATAAAACTTCTTAAAGTTTCTTTTTTTTAACTGATTTTTTTACTTTCTTTATGAGTTTTTGTTTTGAAGAAACTCTTCTCAAATTAGCTCTTTTCACATATCCTAGGTTAAGAAGTTCCTAAAGAATATTTTTCTTTATCCTTGGGTTATTTTCAAAAGTGTTGACATGTATATAAAATACTTTAGTTCTTAAGCTTATGCAAATTACTGTAGCTCCAAGTATTTGAGGTTAGCTCTCGTGGATTTAAATTTGGCTTTGACAATATAGTAAGGAATGTAATATATGATCATGACACCCCTCAGTGATATTACCTGCTCACCATTGTCTTTCTTAAACACCCAACTTATTTAAGGGTCAAAGCACAAGTATGGAATGCCACATAATGTTCTCTGAGGACTAGTGAGAATGTCAAAGATTGTCAATATTTTGCCAAGCCATACAGTTTGACTCTTTAAATAGCTTTTTGGTCTTGGTTATAAAATAAATAATTAAAAAGCAAAATGCAAAACCATGGACAGATTTCACAAGTCATTGACAAATAGGAAACCTTTTATCTGGTCCTGTTTCTTCTTGTCTTACATACTCATAATCCAGTCAGAACAAACCATTTGATCATTTGCTCAATGGTCTCACATTGCCTGGAGAATGTAGAAACACACTCTGAATGATCAAGATGACAAACTTTAAATTGTCATTTGCCCAGTAACCCCACATTGCCTAGAGAATGTGGAGATGCACTCTGAATGACCAAGGTGACAAACTTTTTTAAAGTGCAATTTCTTCAAATGGAAGACCCTTTCTAATCTTATTATGTCTAGGGTATGATTCATTGCTACAAAACATTTAACAAAAGAAATGAATCTTGCCCAACTTTCACTACCTGCTCATCTCTGTAGTAGCTATTCCTTGTTATCCTATGGCAATAAAAATAGCAGTTCATATTTGCCTGAGAGTTTAACATGAGTTAGGTACTTTCTCAACATTCAAATCTTTTATTCCACAAAGTGATATAATGCGGATTACTGTCCTCACCGGGTGGTTTAGGACATTGATACACAGAAGATAAATAAGTCTCCACTAACATGGCAGGTGAGCTCTTTGAAGACAAACGGAAGACTGCACCCATGCTTAGGCTGGACTTCTAAAATATCACTTACATTTTAAAATACATTTTGGGTTGATAGCTAGATAGTCAGAAGTAGCTACAACTTGTCAAAATATATTGTTGACTACATCTAGACTTTTAACAACAAAACATAGCCTATCTCCTTATTTAGTATAAAAGAAAATGTAAGTAACTTTGTGCAGTGTTAAGTGTGGTGGCATCTGCTAGTCACAGGTGACTTTATGTTAATAAAAATAAAGTAAAATTTCCAGTTGCTCAGTTAGGAGACCACATATTATTTTATATATTTTGTTTAAATAAGAAACAATCTTATTTTACATATCAATTCCAGTTCCCTCTCCCTCCCATTTTCCCATGCTCCCCAATGACCCCCCATCCCATCCCCCATCCACTCCCCAGGGAGGGTGAGGCCTTCCATGAGGGATCATCAAAATCTGTCAAGTCATTTGGGGCTGGGCCTAGGCCCTCCCCTTTGTATCTAGGCTATGAGAGTATCCCTCATTGGAAATGGGCTCCTGAAGTCTGTTCGTACACTAGGAATACATCCTGGTTCCATATTTACTTTATAAAAGTTTTCGTTAGTATGCAAGGTATTTGGTTTCTTTATGACATTTTTTAATCTAATTTGAACCTATTTTGTTTGGGCTTCTTCTCTAATTCTCTCTCCTACCCCTATGGCCCCCTTTCTACCCTTCTGTGCCTACCACACTCATTTCTGGTTATATATGTTCTGTTTTTTTCTTTCTCTTCCTTAGCACCTGTTTGCCATACTCTCATGCCGTCCTTTCTGTTTTTGTGGTCTATACCCTCATAGATACACATATGTGAACACTGAAGCTAATATCTGCATTTGAGAGTCAACACACATGTCTATCTTTGTTATTCTATGTCACCTTGTTTAATTAATAATTATTTTAAGATCCAACCATTTTTTTCTGAAAATTTCACTCTTCTCAGCAGTTGAGTAAAATTCACATAAATATGTAGCGAGAGATCTAACTGCAAACTGTGGCGCTGACCATCTGGGCGTGGTCACAGATGCATACAGGACTGGAGGATTTAGGTTGGCTCTGGAAGGGCTTCCTTTCTGGCCTGGTCACAGAACAGCCTGACCTGGGGCAGCCACCCGTGTCTTATATAAGTGTTATCTCTCCGAATAAACCTTTTAACCTATACTGAGTCTAGTGAATCTTGATTCCCACATGGGACATTTAGATATAATATATATTATCCATCCATGAGTTGATGAACAGTTAGGCCGGTCGCATAGCTATCATGAATATAGAAGAAATCAACATGGGTGTGCAAGTATCTGTAAGCATCTGTGTGATAGGATGTAGAAAGCTTTGGGGATGGGCTTAGGAGTGACTTAACTGGGTCACTTGGTACTTTCACTTGTTGTGTTTTTAGTTTTCGAGCACTCTCCACACTTTCCCTCCATGAGTCTGCATTAGTTTTCACTCCCCCAGCAGTGAATAAGTGTTTCTGTTTCCCCACATCCTCTTCCATAGTTGTCCTTTGCTTTCTTGATGATAGTCCTCTTGACTGAATGAGATGGATTCATCAGGTAGTGTTAATTTGCATTTCCCTGTTGGCTAAAGTGTTTGAACAATTTAAAATACTTATTGGCCATTCATGTTCTTCATTTCTTCCATTCATCAGCCTATCCTGACTGGCAGTTTTTGTTTGTATTAAAAATTGCCATCTATTTTTAAGTAAAATTGTATTTTATGTACATCAGTGTTTTGCCTTCATGTTTGCTTGTGTACTACATGCATATAGTTCCTGCAGATACCAGAAGACAGGTCAAATCTCCTGGAACTAGAGATATAGACAGATGTCAGTGGGTGATGGGAATCCCACCCAGGTCCTCTGGAGGTGCAGCCAATGCTCTCAACTGCTGAGCCATCTTTCCAGCTCCTGGTACTTTAACTTTTCAGTTTTTTAAAAATATCTTCTAGATATTAACATGCTATTTGAAGTATAACTAACAGATATTTTTTCCCTTCTATGGGCTACAAAGGTAGTTTCCTTTGTCATAGTATTTTCTTGTAGTTCCTTTTGTCAATCCTTGGGCTTTTTCCTGTGCAGTTGAAGTTCTAATTTCCCAAATCATTTTCTGCATGCATCTATCTGTCTGTCTGTCTATCTGTCTATCTATCTATTTATCCGTTTTTTTCAGTTTGGGAACATTAAATATATTTAACTATAGGTAAAAACTAGATATTATAGTCACAGAATAGAGTGTAATTTTAAATTGTCCTAATGCACACAAATTAATGACATTGATTGGGAACAACAGAAGGCAATATTGAACAACATTGAAGTAATTATGTTTCTGTTATTTAGTAAGTGGGGCTTATTTTCACTACAAAAGAGTAGAAAGTGTTAAAATCATGTGTTAGTTTTGAAGAATTATTGTCACCACAAATCTGTGGCCCCTCTAGAAGCCACATAGAGTAGCAGTTCTTACCTGGAAAGTGCCACTTCAGAATGCCATTCTAAAGATGCTCTGGGTTCTCTAAAATCAAACTTCCTGTACATTTTTTCTGGCTGAATTTGGTGAATTTTTAAATATAAATAACATATATCTCAATAACCACAGTCAATGTTTCCCCAGATTACATCATTTTCATCATCTTTGCTTCAGAAATGTCTTAATTTTCATTACAGTAAATCTTGGAGCTAAGATTAAAAATAAAAACAATGATAAGGAAAGTAAATCTTCCTTAATAATTATAATAAAAACTAATTTTATTTAGAAGAGAACATTTTTTTCACATCCCAGCTACAGCCTCTCCCATTCCTCCCATTCTAGTCCCTCTCCCCCATTCCTTCCTCCTACTTCCCAATATCCTCTTCTTACATGTCTATCCAGGAAAGGGCAGGTCTCCCATGGGTATCAACAAAACATGGCATATCAAGTTGCAGTAAGACTAAGTACCTCCCCAAATATGAAGGCTGGGCAAAGCAACCCAGTATGAGAAGTAGGGTTCCAAAAGCATGTAAAAGAGGCAAAGACAGCCCCTGTTCCCCCTGTTAGGAGTCCCATTAAGAGGAACAAGCTACACAACTGTAGTATATATGCAGAGTATGAGTACCTAGGTCAGTCTCATGCAGGCTCTCTGGTTGTTGTTTCAGTCTCTGTGAGCCTCTATGAGTCCAGGTTAGTTGATTGTATAAGCCTTCTCGGTGGTGTCCTTGAACCCTCTGGCTCCTACACTCCTTTCTCTCTGTCCTCTGCAGGATTCCTGATCTCCACCTAATGTTTGGCTGTGGGTCTCTGCATCTGCCTCCATCAGTTGCTTGATGATGCCTCTCTGATAACAATTAGGCCAGGCACCAATCTGTCACAAGAGATGGCCAGTTCAGGCTATTTTTCTGCTATTGCTAGTAGTCTAAGCTGGGGTCCCCATAGACTCCTGGGCGATTCCCCTGCACCACTGTGCCTATATTTTGAAATAATTTTTTCTATCTGTTTATTGTAACAGTTTAGTGTTTCTGGTTTTAAGTTACTGTCTTTCATTCTATTTGAATTATTTTCATGGTGTGCAGCATAAAACATTTGGATTTAATTTTATTATTCTGTAGGTAGATATCCAGTATCACCAGTACCTTTTGATGGATAGGCTGTCCTTCCTGTAGAATTAAGTGGCCATATCTGTGTGAACATTTTCTTCATCACAGAAAGTTCTACTGAAATAGATGCACAGACATTTAGATTCACTTAGTCTAGGCAACTTACTGGAAAGGCCTTGTGTCTACCTCCTTCCTAGGATCAAGGGTGGGCCACCATGCCCATCTGGCATTTGCATGGGTCCTGGGGATTTGAACTCCTGTCCTCAGGCTTGCAAGTGCTTTATCTGTTGAGCTATTTGCTCAGCCTTATTCTGAATTGCTTAAGAAGAAATGTAGAAATAAAAAAGAGGTATGAAATATTAAAAGTGTGATACCTAAAAAATAAAAATGAAATGAATGAGTCATTTAACAAAAGTCAGTGATACTTCCTCAAGTATAAAATAACAATGAATAATAAGAACAAGAGAACAGAGGCAGAGGCAGGTGGATCTCTGTGAGTTCGAGACCGGGCTGGACCGACAGCCTCCAAAACAATACAGAGAAACCCTGTCTCGTAAAACCAAAAAAAAAAAAAAAAAAAAAAAAAAAAGCAAAAGCAAAACAAAAAAAAAAAGAACAAGAGAACATTATAGTCAACTAGATGAGTGGTAAACAGATTACTTTAAAATGACAAATGTCTAGTTGACATACATTTTATATTGAAAATACACAAAGAAAGGGCAGGAAGAAATTGTTAGACAAGTTCTGAATTCTGATGCTGTAATGATTAGACTAAGAAAACAAATCATATATTATCATAGATGAAGTGGCAGAAAAATAAAATGGGTACATATAGAAAGAAATCATGAAAATAATTTTTTATGAAGTACTAAAGGCCAGGCCAGTCTGTCATCTGTCTTCAGGTCAACAATGGGTTCCAGCAAACAAGGGAAAAGTCTGAACCATTTTGTGGGAAAACAATTGATCAACTTTGAGTGTGTTACAGATCATATAGTGATTAGAAAAACAAAGGGATCAGTCAAGGGATGCCAGTTTGGTTGTCACTGATCTCTTTTTGGACAGCTATGCATGGGTGCACTACAAACAAAACCATAAACCAACTGAGAGCTTACATCCATCTGTTTGTAAGAGATTTAAAGCAGAAAAAAACAAGAGAATGAAGGTAGGCATTGAGACCCAAGAGAAACCACTGCAAAACAAGAAATTGGAGGGCTTTGGGCAGCTGACCCAAGGTTGGAGACAGGATGACTTAAAGGGGTTAGCTAGAATTATGGGAAGGTTTGAGGATATACCAAAGTCTCATAATAACTGGAACAAAAGTAAGGTAATTAAATCTCTAGGAAAGTCAAATAATGTACCAAAGGCTGTATGTCCAAGTAGGAAGCAACAATAAAATGCGAAGCAGGAATGAGAGGCGATGGGATGGGAAGTGACCAATGTGTTGGAAAGCCATCTTGAAATCCTTCCCCTCCATAAGTTCAACAAATTTCTCTTAAAATGAAAACAATATAGCTAAAATGATCAAGTTATGGACAGATGCAGTGTTTTCTTTTTCTATCCAAAAGATTGACAGTTTTCGTCACTGCCAGTAATCTGCTACAGTAAATAATACTCTAGTTAATAAATTGAGATGACTCATCCAGTAATGTCAAACTGTTAAGAAGTCTTAAATTCACCAAAGGAATAAATTTAAATCAGTCACTCATTTGAAAAGAAAATACACAATTTCTGTTTTTAAAAAATCTTCGCTGCCATCAATCAGAGCTGTGCATGTTAATTTTACTTTATTATTAAAAAGACAGATTTGAAAAGCAATTTTTTCTATTTTTTGTATTGTTTCTCCCTTTACTCTCTTCCCTCCAAATACCTTGTGATCCTACTTTGAAATTCATTGCCTCTTTTTCTTTAATTAATAGTTCTGCACACACACACACACACACACGTATGCACACACAAGCTTTATATAGGGTTTTTACTGCTGTGATAAAACATCATGGCAAAAGCAACTTGGCAAGAAAAGGGTTTATTTCAGCTTATAGTTCCACATCACAGTCCATCATGAAGGGGAGAAAGCGCAGGAACCTAGAGGCAATAGCTGATGAAGAGTCATGGAGGACTGCTTCTTAGTGGCTGACTCCCCATAGCTTTCTTATCCTGTTTCTTTATATACCCTAGGACCACGTTTCTAGGGGTGTTTCACCCACAAAATGGCTGGGACCTCCCACATCATCATTGATCAAGAAAAGTGCTCTACAGACTTACCCACAGGTCTATCTGTGGAGGTATTTTCTCAATTGAGGCTTCTTATTTTCAAACAAAGCTAGTTCATACACATATCTTTTAAGGTTGACCACTTGTTATTTGTACATGCTTTCTTTTCCTTGATTTCAACCTAGGGAAAGATAGATTCTCTAGGCCATAGCAATTTTTAAGTTGGAGTCTCAAGTACCTACTCGTAGACATAACAGTTACAATAATAGTACTGTTAGGTTCCACAAAATACTCTATACAATAGAAATTTTTCTTATGCTTCTAGAGCATAGGAGTCAGGGCTCAGAGCAGATGGTTTCTGGTGAGAGCTCACCTCATCTCTTTCTGCAAAGGAGGTAGGACTTTATAATATTTCTTCTTATAAGGCAAAATATCTCTTTATTGAGTTTCACTTTCAAGAATGTAATAATCTTAATTACCTATCAGAGATTCCATCTACAAATATTATCTCTTCTGGTGCTAAGGTTTCTAAAGAATTTGGAGAGGACAGGGGTACCTAGGACATAAGATATAGGTGTAATATCAATGTATACTCATAATTTTAAAAGAATAGCATTACTATCATTATTTAACTATTTGAATTTTAGTATTCCATGGCATGTAGTGGAAAGTGGTGTAGCACACAAAAATTAAAACAGTTAGAATTACAAATTATGTGCATCTTTTATAATTAGTCTTAATAAAGATAGTCTTGTATTCCCATTGCTGAGTTGGTACATATGTGCATTTTCTGTATCTACACGTTTAACTCTCCAAAGTCTGGTTTTCAAGACAAACTCTAACAAATTGGTTTTACTTAATATTACATTTAAGAATTAATAAAATGGGAGCATCCTAGAGATAATATTCTGGAAGATAAAATTTAACAATTATGTTTACTGCTTAAGAATATTAATCAATATTAAAACTGGATTTTCAGAAATCAACACATTTGAAGCACAATTAGTAAGTTATAATTTGAACATGATATTTATGATGTATACCACTGATCAAAATTTAATTATATAACAAACAAAAGAAAATTGTTCTTGGGTTTACAACAGCTGTATATTAAACAGTTTGGAATAGTTTTGTTCTTTGGTGGCTTCTTTAAAAATGCTTATCACATATACACTGTTTTACTTCTCATATTGTAAGGTAATAGTTCTGCTAAATGGTAAAACTGCTATGATTTTATTAGTTAAAAATAGCTGATACTGGGCTGGAGAGATGGCTCAGTGCTTACTGTTCTTGCAAAGGACTTAAGTTCAGACCTGTAATCCCAGCTACCGGAGAGTCAACAACACTCTCTTTTTGTCTCACTGGGCACCAGTGTTCATGTGGTGCATATAAACCCATACAAGCACATACACATAAAACAAACAAACACACAAAAACTTAAAATATAATTAACTGAGAAAGTTTTTTTAATGATGTGATACCTGGTATGTTGACGACACTCCAGGGTAGGACTCATGCCCAGTAAATGGTCAGCCAACACAAACTGGACATGATGGAGAGAGGGAGTGGGGAGGTAGAAAGAAATAAAGTAGTTGGCAGGTGGGGAGGTGAGGGAGGATCTTGGATAAGTTAGTGGAAGGTGATTAATATAACCAAAACACATTGTATGAAATTTTCAGATAATTAGTAAAACGTTATAGAATAAATGAAGTTGACAGGAATATGTCTTTCCAGAGATAAATTCTCAAATTTACTATGTACTCATAGTTTTATCACATAGTTAAATTGTTTCAATTGTTACCTTTAGAAGAAGAAGCTACCACTAATATTCTAAATGTAATGACTGGGTGTGTTTTAATGATGAAAGTACTAAACAAGATGGGTGGGAGTGACTGAGGTCCTCCTCCCTCTACAGGGATGCTGGAGACTCAAAGTCCAAATCTTTTGTCCAGTGATTCTTTCCATTGAATGGTTTTTGTTTTTTCTAGGAGATGATGCTAGGGAAGCTGTTAAACATGGTGTGGATGGGATCTTGGTGTCCAATCACGGGGCCCGACAACTGGATGGAGTGCCAGCTACTGTGAGTTTCCACTGTGATTTCTCTACATATGTATTTTTAAAATCAGAGCATCATACATGTCTACTGTGTGTGTATGTGTGTGTGTCTGTGTGTGTGTGTGATCACTTATGATAAACTATGTGATGTAAAAGAGAGATCTCAGATTTTCAGTCGTACAGAGTTACCTAAATTAGCAAAATGCTGTTATTTTTAACTAGCCCGAATATGTATATTTATAAACTTGGGGAAAGAGGTCCTTCTAATTAGTAAGGCAGGGACTGTTCTTGTGAGCACAGGTACAGCAGTAGATGATGTATGAGCTGCAGAAGGAGAGAAATGATTCAGACATGGCAATCCAAAAGAAATGAAGGCATACACAATTGAAAGGATCACAAAAGCCTCTGGGGAGAAATAATTTAACTTAGTAGAAGTGAATTGTCTTGTTGATTTGTCTAAGTCTGCAGACAACCTGGGTTTGCTTTATGATTGAGTATAAGTCAGCAGGGAGCACTGGTATGCACACAGTGTTTCCCAAAGCACTGAAGGGTGTGGCCAACCAAGTCAGCACACAGTGGGATTAGCATCTTATCATTTGAAAGCATGAAGCTGGAGGTTGTAAAACCCCTTCTGACGTAGACTTAGCCCCACAGACACAGCACTCTGGGTGATATTAAATGTGGCCCGCAGGTGCGAAGAGGTGGAAAGTGATGCCCTCCTCACAGCAGGGTGGAGAAGTTGCTCACAGCCCAAAGTGCTTGGCCAGATTCATGCCTCACTTGTGCATGAAGACACAGACTTAGTGTGCGGCCAAATTAAGTTTGTTTTCTAAAAATAAAATATAAATCTTATGAAATCAAATCTAACTAGATTTTAAGGGTAAAATATCTAAATGGTGTGGTTTCTTTCTCTCTGGCCAAGGGCATATGGAAATTTATCTAAAAGGGCTTTTTGAGTTGCGGTCTCAGAGACTGTTTAAAAAAAAACAATGCCCCCTCGCTTTGCATGCTCTGTGTATGAGAGGGTATACTTGCCTAAGTTTTGCCTCATACTGGTAGCAAATGTAAGGCCAGTGATGATGAGAGAAATGTATGAAAACACTCAGTCTATGGAACACCGTGTTTTCTTTCCCTTGGTGTATGGGTTTTGCGGTGAGCGGTTAAAAACTTAAAAGGAGGCTATGGTATAAGCCTTTACACTAGATGCATAGAAGCTCTTACTGTCCTGCAGTGGTTGTGACATCATATGCCAGGGTGCAGGTCAAGGATGATATCATGGGAGGATTTTTGAAGTAGGAAGCTTGAGTTTGAGTTATTTTCTTGCCTCCCATAATGTGTGAGAGACAGAGGGGCAAGTCACTCAGTCTCCTATGCCTGAACCTCTCCTGGTATTGTATTGGTTCCATAAAGAATATGTCTGGACTATATGATTCTACATTTTTCTACTTCACAGCATTTCCTTGTACAGAGAAATATTTGCCGCTTGAATTTCTGGACCCGGAATTTAACTTCAGTTTATCTTGACACACTGTTGTCTAGCCTGTATGTCCTTCAAACATCATCATGTGTGTGTGTGTGTGTGTGTGTATTTCAAATTTTCATTGAATTTTGATGTCAAACAAACCCAAAGTACTTTAGACTTACAGAAATAATGTTCTTTTCCACAGTAAATTTCCCATATGCCAAACATTTTCACTGAATAAGTGTTTGTGTTAAGTAGCTGACTCTCAAATTGAGTCCTTAGGCATGTTCTGTACCATCTAAGAAGTGTTTTTTTTAAAGGGGGCACTAAATGTTAGAATGCTTGCTTAGTGTAGAAGACCCTAAGTTCAAACTTCAGCCCCAGGACCACAAAAACACAAAATGAATTGTAAAAGCATGTTAAATGAATTGTAAAAGCATGTTTTATATATGTCATCCTTGAGAGGTACTTGGTATATGAATTGGCTTTCATGGTATAACAAACACATCTGAGCTTAATGGTGAAAACAGCTTCCATTTATTTATGTCCCTGTTTTAATAAGTTGACATTTTGTGCTGAGGACTGTGAGGTGCTGGGTTCTGGTCTTGGCTGGGCTCACTCCTGATGGTATGGGGTCAGCTGTTTATGCAGGAGAGTAGCCTGGTGGAGGATAATCTCACTGTCTCACATCTCCTACTGTATCACAATGATTTATTTTCATGAAGGGGCAGGTTTTCTAAAGGGTCATGCCAGGTCTTAAAATCTAAGATCAGAAGTAACACATTGTTAGAATCTCTCCTGTTCCACTGATGAATGCTAATCACAGTTCAGCTCCCCATCCCATCTCTCTTCCCCCAAGGATAACCCCAAGGAGCATAATCCCACCAAGGAGTGTAGTGGATTGAAGTTTGTGTGTGGAGGAATCATTGGAGCCATTTGGGGGCTTGCTAAATCTCTAGGTTAGTGATTTTCTGATGATGCTGAGTAGAAGCTCTGGAGGGATGTGGGTGTGGTCTGGGGATTGAGGCAGCAACTGGAACTCAGTGACCTCTGCTTTAACTGTTTAATGTTCAGTTTCCTTGGTTGGAACATTTAAGTGTCCTTCTTGAATAACAATTGATGCAATATGGATGCATAGGAAAGGAAAAACAAAAGTGTAAATAGACTAGTGGGCTTGTCTGTTCTGTTTATTTATTCAGTCTGCCCCTCACTCTGTTTCATGTAGTGTGTGCCTAATGAAAGTGCAGCTCTGGAAAGAGAAGAAGTTAGAATTGCTCAATGTCGGATGGTACTTACCTGTCCACAGACATAGAGACACAAATGCAGGTTCTGTTTTATATTCCAGGATTCATATCTTAAGTGTCCTTATTAGTGTACTTCTAGGCCAGGTTAGGCACTGGAAATAACCTAAACAGACTTGATTTGTGTGACTTTGAAAATGTGTATTGAACCCAAGCTAGCTAATATTTTTCTTTGGTTCTGGTTTCAAATGGGGAAATATGCTTAATTATGGCTTGCATCATGGCTTGGAAATTGTAGCATTTATATGTTGATGTAACTTGCCTGAATGTAAAAGGGGACTATGTATAGGTAAGAGAATGTATGTAAATGGATCCGAAGCATGTTTGGCAAGGCATGGAAGCCAAAAGGGAAAGGGGAAAATTACACTACCTGCCAAACATTTAGGGGCCACTTGCCAAGGGTTGCCTCCACTTCCTCCAAATTGTAGCTGTGTTTGGTTTTCAGCCTTTTACATAAAACTCTATTTAAGTTTAGCCACTAAACTTCTAGGAGAGAAGTAGGAAAGCCTTTGAGTGATTTCAGCACAATTATTTCTGGAAAAAGAGCAGTTTAAGTGTGTGGTGGCTTTCACATCATACGTAAATGGAATCAGGACTTCATTTCAGATCCAAACGTTTTGGGACAAATGTGAATAATTTCCATAAATTTTCACCTACATCTAATGAGCCACTTGTATCACATACTTCTGTGGATCTAGGGGGAAGGCCAGTGATTTTAACTGACAATTGCTCCCTTGAAACATCCTGCTACTGGGGTCTTCTGCTTCAGGCTTGGGACTAGCCTGCTGTATGAGTTATAAGTTTTTGGTCCAGCTGGGTGAGGCTTGAATAACTCTGCCTCCTGAGTAGTCTCCCTGTGGCCCAAGCTCTGAGGGAACAAGACCTGCAAATACCTATCTCATGACAAATGACAAAAGTACAAACCTAAGGAGAGATACCTGACATAGCTTCAGGTCTGTGCCCTGAAATGGTTTTCTGCCTCCTCTGCTCACATGTTACTGGCCAAAGTGGATCATATAACCAAAGCCAATGCCAAGGAGTGGGTAAACATGCTCTGTCTATTTTGGTGGGAGAAACTATGTAGATGTCTTAGAAAGGAAATGCATTTAGAGAAGTATTGGGGATCATGAAGGATACTATAAGTTACCATATCATTCTTGTGAGGTTCTTCTACTCTTTGCAGTAAACTAAACCCATTGTCAATGGCCAATTTAGATGGCAATCTTCAAGGTTCACATGGCCATACTCCTGTATCTGGTGGTAAAGTGTTTTCATAGTTATCTAATGCTTATCTGATGTAAAGTGTGTTAGAAGAGAAAATCAGCGAGGAGCCATATTTGCACACTTTATACACCACTGCTTACAACATCTGCTGTGCATTTAACTATTGATCTCCAGTAAATAATATTAAGAATACTCTATGCCAGTAAGATACTTCATTTATTTTATAAAAGAGAGAGCTATGAAAGATCAAGTGATTTAGAATTATGTTTATTAAATTTTTAGACATAATATTTGAATTTACAAAGCAGGAGTAGAAAAATTAATACCCAGCTTAGAAGAAATAGAGACTAATTGATTCCAAATTCACAGTTTCTAGTTCCTAACATTTGCATTTTTTTTCTTCCTGGAGACATAATTCCAACCTTAAATCTACTGGTCTTTTTCTTTCTGTCTGAGCCTTAGTTGGATGGGTTTGAAGTCACTGGAGGTGAAATTGAGAAGTTTTTTTTACACAGTATCACACTGTCCTTCTTTTCTCCTTAGATTGATGCCCTGCCAGAAATCGTCGAGGCTGTGGAAGGGAAGGTGGAAGTCTTCCTGGATGGGGGTGTAAGGAAAGGCACTGATGTTCTCAAAGCTCTGGCCCTGGGAGCCAAGGCTGTGTTTGTGGGGAGACCCATCATCTGGGGTTTGGCTTTCCAGGTAATAGGATAAGAAAATAAACAAATAAAACAAAAACTTTTCATAGTGAAATAGTGCTGAACCAGTTTACGCACCAAACACATTAATATGTTTTACTTGCTTAGGGAGAAAAAGGTGTTCAAGATGTCCTTGAGATACTGAAGGCAGAATTCCGGCTGGCCATGGCTCTGAGCGGTAAGTCTTGGGACTTCTTCAAGTTGCGCTGCACCACTGTAACACAGTAACTGACAGAGAAGACTTACTAGAAGAAAGAATTATTTGAGCTCAGGGTTTCAGAGACTTTCAGCTCATCACCATGGGAAAAACATTGTGGGGCTCATGGCAGAAACTGAACTAGGGGCCAAGTTATAACCTTGGGAGGCACGGCCTTAGTGCCTACTTCCACAATCTAGTCTCCACCTTCAAAAGGCTCTAAGGCCCCCAACGTGCTGCCACCACTGGGAAACAAGTACTGAAAAAAAGAGGCTGTGGAGAACACTAGATACTAGATGATACTAGATGCAAATCCCAGCAGGTTCTTAGTCTCATTTATTGATTTCTTGTTTTCCATGGGCTTTATGCCAAGCTCCTTGGGCGAGAGATGATATGAGGAGGAATAAAATAGATCGTTTGCGACACTGAATTTGCAGCCTTTCTGTTGATGGCTCTAAAGCACAGCAACTTTGGACTGGGAGATTTACAGTGTGCCTAGTTACTTAGCCTTCAATTTTCACAGTACTATCAGGGATGTCTTGGTGCACAAGAGAACTTTAAAGACAGGCATAGTGTCATTCTTTTTCTTACTTCTTGACTCATGACTGCATAGATCCAGCTGGCTGGTTAGTTCTACTTTCTTGACAAGGTGGCAGGTCAAACTCTGTCTGAACCAAGCACCTTGCTCTCTATTACCTGTGCCACTTGGAGCCTCTGACTCCCAGTTCTTTCTCATGCCAAAGTTTCATTTGCGCTTGCCCAAGCTCTCAATACTTGCCTTTTCTTTCACATCTTGACATCCATGGGGGTTTCTCTTTACAGTGTAATTTGAATCTGACCCCCCCCTTCACCACATCCGCTGCCACCGCATGGCTGTCCCATTTTTCTTTCCCTCTTGCAGTGGGCATTAAGGTCTGCTTCTCTAACTTGGTCTACCTGTCTTCTCCAGTTCTTCTTTGATTACAGAAACCAGGGTAGCCATTTTAAACATTAATTTAACTCATGTTCTCCTTGGGTTGGAACCCTCCAATAACTCTTGACTTACTCATCATCTATGCTAAAGTCCTTACAATAGTATATAAGGGCCTGGTCACCCTTTCAGTCATAGGTGTTATCCCCGCTGTCCCTGTTACTGAGCCAAAGCTTCACTTGCCTCTTAAAGGTTCCCTAATTCTCAGACAAGTTCCAGTTTCATGGCCTCTGTGCTGTGTCTTCCCTTTTCCTTGATGCTCCCCAGATGCCTGCATGATGAAGTTCCTCTACCCTTCAAGTTTTCATGTGCATTTTTCATTCACAAAAGGCCTACCTTGCCTGCTCATCTGTCTCCAAGTTCCAGCTTTCTGTCCCCATTCTTGCTGTCTTTTTCTTTAGAACCCATCACTGTCCACAATACACATCATGTATTTTATGTTTCCCCTCTAAAAAATAAAATGCGCGATCAGGTACCTGTCCATCTTTTATCTCTTTGCCTGGTTTGCAATGTTTAGAGTGGTGCCTGGCATGCAAACAATAAATGTTTGTTAAAAGAATTAGTAAGTGCTGTGTTTACTGTGGATTGCTTAGAGTTTGAGTCAAAATGGACCTTTAGCTGCTGCTGCTGCTGCTGGTGGTGGTGGTGGTGGTGGTGGTGGTGGTGGTGGTGGTGGTGTGTGTGTGTGTGTGTGTGTGTGTGTGTGTGTGTGTGCGGGGGCAGGGCGGGGGAGGGAGCTTCAAGTGAATTACCAGTTTCCTCATTTGAAGTTGAAGTGCGATTCAGTTTCTGCAATCCACAAGGTCCAAATAACCTGGATAGCTACAACTCCTGAGATTGTCTCCCTGCTACTGTGCAGCCTGAGCTCGCCAGAACCTTCAGGAGAAGAATGCCATCCTGTGAATCCTCTCTACTCATTTTAATTTGCTGCAGACATATCCTAAACGAGAGCTTTCAGCCTCCGGCTGTCTATTAAATGTGGCAGAAAGAATACACTCTTTGTGTTAATAAAAATATGTGCCAGTCATTTTGTATTAAGGACTGTTTAGGTAATAAAAATGGTCTCATGCCACATAAGATTTGGCAAGCATACCTTGAATCATAAACCTTACATTTGTCAAGTTTTACATTCCTTGGGAAAACGATTACCTGCCTGATTATTATTGCATTCATTTCATATTAAATGTATGCATTATTTTTTCAGGGTGCCAGAATGTGAAAGTCATCGACAAGACATTGGTGAGGAAAAATCCTTTGGCCGTTTCCAAGATCTGACAGTGCACAATATTTTCCCATCTGTATTATTTTTTTCCAGCATGTATTACTTGACAAAGAGACACTGTGCAGAGGGTGACCACAGACTGTAACTCCCCACTTCAATACAAAGGGTGTCGTTCTTCTCCAACAAAATAGCAATCCCTTTTCGTTCATTGCTTTTGACTTTTCAATGGGTGTCCTAGGAACCTTTTAGAAAGAAATGGACTTGCATCCTGGAAATATATTAACTGTTAAAAAGAAAACATTGAAAATGTGTTTAGACAACGTCATCCCCTGGCAGGCTAATGTGCTCGGAAACAAAAGATATCCTCTGGTAAAATTGGAGGTAGTGTGCTGAAGTAAAAGATAATGACCTCACTGTTTATTAACCTGTCTTATGTTTAGATTTCCTTAAGACAGTGGCTCTTACAGTGTGCGCTGGGCTTTGAAATGCTGAAAATGCCCAAAGAAACATGAGGTTTGGATTTGCCATGTTGAGAAAATAGCACTAGGTAGACTTGAAATGGATGGTGGTAATTTGTGACTTTCTAGAGACTTGTCTTTTAGCACCCTCATTCTTTGAAGATAGATTTCCAGCCATCTATCATAGTGTCTGGATATATCTGAATGTGGTGTGATAGTTACTGCATTTGAAAAGGATGTGTCTAGCTCACTTTGGACAATATGGAATTATTTTCACTTTTGAATTCTGTTTATTCCTTCCCATTTTTGAGGTGTTGATTTTCTAGTTCCCCCCTGAACCTTTCTTGATTCTTTCATTTCTCCTTATTTATAGCCACGTTCAGAGTCAAGTACATATTTTGTGGGATTCATGGTGAATAAAGATGTGGAATTCTTATTCAGAAGGAAGCCAAAAAATGCCATTTCATTTTATCATAGTGATTTTCTTAATTGTTGATGTTGTTCTCTTTGTTTATGTTTTTCTTTTCCTATTTAATGGCATTCTTCCTCGAGCATGGGGCAGTAGGTACACTACCATGCCAAATAAAGACTATATAAAGTGACTGTGGTTTTCTCTTGTACCTTGCTTTTCTTGTACATATGTCTAGGACTTGAACAGGGTGGCAGAGGTTGACTCAGTATTCACTCTATTTGTCTTACTAAATATCACTTAATGACACAATTTTGAAGTTAAAATTATTAGTGTTTTAAAGACAATAACCAAAGAGCATCACTTCTTAAACATGAGACCTCTTCTGGTTGTGGAACCATGGACATGTGTTGTGATGATAACACCACAGAGCTGTTAGTTTTAGTTCCAAAGAGAGCTTTTCGCAAAGGGAGGCACACTTGGCTTCTGAAGCAATTTTGTTCAAACATTATGGAATGTTGAACGAAGCAACTGAGAAAGTTGCCATTTTAAAGGATGACTGTTACATTGCTTTATGATTTTGTTTATTCTCTTGTGATCTTCTCCATCTGGCTTCTGAATCCCAGATTATTGCTAAATGACAACAATGTAGACATGGATTTTACTTTTGAAATTATGTCTATGTTTGATTAAAACAAGCAATCATTTACTCTGATAAAAATAGAAACAGTTAGCTTTCATCTTTTCTTCCAGATGTGGAGGAAATGTTATCTTCATATCATATCATGCTATCATTTCTAGTTAATCAGTGAAGTATTCCCAACTGATTACTAAATACTTTTGCTGTTAGTGTGTAATGTTTATTACGGCTACATTGTTGGATAATGCCATCCTAAAATGCTGATAGTAGCTCAGGAAGCGAAGCTCCACAAGAAAGATTTATTCAAATTACAACAAGAATGGATGTAGATGTATAAAATTCCTGTAATTTTTTATGTTATGCTATGAAGATTTCTCTTTATGTCTTCAGGGTTAGACTATGTCCAAAACCCCTTGTTGGGTAATTTTTCTATAACCAGAAAGATACAGTTGTTTAGAGCCATTGAAAACAAATAAGGATACAGGAATGGTCAATGCATTAATGGAATGGATTGATTATACATTCCTTTCCAGGAGTTCTGACATTAAATTTTGTGGTTGTCTTTTCTGTTTCTGACTTTAAAAAAAAACTAAGTTAAGCTTATTATTAAACAAGTGCACAAAACATACACAATCATGATGTACTTTGGAGGTTTTGACACATATACACATATACACATATACATATATACTACTTAAAATGCATCTGTTCTCTGAGTCTTTGAAAATCATTTTAAGAGAAGGCAATAAGGAAAAGATAATTTTGTTAGACTGTGTGTTTGTCTGTTATATCATCTATGGCACAGTGCAGTAGGGAGGTGTACCTTAAACCATGGTTTGCATCAGAACTACTTAAAACAGACTGTTGGGGCTGTCTGCAATGGTTTCTTATCCAACCAGATCAATGATCCAGTCATTGAGTGTGAGTTGTAGGGAGAGTCCGTGTGCCACCTAGATGTACTAGGTACTCTTTAACAATTGATTCTTCCCATTTTATTTTATTTCTTACTGAGGAATAAAATGCCTATATGGATCATGTAAAGTGGCAAAAACCAAGTGTGTGGGCGGATACATTTTTTACATAAGTATAGGTCCATCCTCTGTAGAGCATGATGTAGAAAATTTCCAACATTCATCACAGTACCCTCTCTTTAGGAGTAAGCATCACTGGTGTCTGTGGCCACTGATTGCTGTTGGTTGCTGCTGAGCTGTACATGATGCAAGCCTTGTGGCATGTTCTTGGGTATTTGGGGTCTTCTATTCATTCCATGTGGAAGGCATTCATGCCAACTTTATCAGTAGCTAGTTTTATGTATTGGTATGTAGTGTGCAGTGATCCACTGTAGAGCTTTGCCACAGTAAAGGGATCTCTTCTCCAATTGCTAGGTGTTTGGGTTGTTTCCATGTTGTGTGTTTTTTTCTGGAAGTTGCTTCTGCTTTTCATTAGTGTAAAAGTAGTATTATTTTATGCTTTTTTTCTAGAAAAAAGCTATTCAGTTTGAACACTGAGAAAGTCATGTTCCATGTAGATATTGCCTGCATCTGGTTCAAGAGCACACTAAGTTCCCCCTCTCTGTAACATCTTGTCCTCATAGATGTTTGTTTTTCTCATGGCTGAAATAGTTCTCCCATCCTGATACAAAGTTATGCCTGTGGCCTGTATAGTTTGGGATGGCTGCCAACAGAAATCTCCAGAATTTCCTTTGCTTAAGCTTGCTTATATTCTGCTACCTGGAATAGTGTGGGTGTGAAATAAACTTCCTCCTAACTACCAGGTTTGGGTACCCAGTTCTCAGGCCTGTAAGGGTGAAAACAGTGGGACTGATGCTTCTTAGCGTGCAGTTTGCAAACTACATCTGTATCCTAGCTGTGTTATTCATTTGATTGTTTATCTGGCCCAAACCTTGATGTTTGTGAAACAGCTTGAAAGGGCTGCGGTACATTAGGATAGCATGAGAGGAAGTTGTGGCTTGTTCTCAAAGAAGAAGAAAAGATTCTTTTTTTCTTCTCTGTAGAATTCATAATTTATTTACATGCACTGTGTTGCATGTAAGTTGCATAGCAACAAAAATAAAGTCTGGGTATGAAAATCTGAAGGTTTCATATTACATAAAGATGGAGGACACACTCTGACTTTGTACTCTTTTAAAGTGTGTACCATGCCACTTGCCAATTATAAAAAGACTTCAGGGTGACAATTTATTTTAGGTATTATGTTAACCCAAGTGAAAGAAGGCCACTACTATATGTTTATATGATGGGAAACTTTTTATCCATTCCAAAGAATACAATTTCCTGTCCTTATCCAAATCTAACTTGTGCAATAGGGCTCTTCTCTTTAACTGGATTGTCCGTAGACGGCTGAGGGAAGGAAAAAGATGCTTCTACAAACAAATCATTTCCTGTTTGCTTCTCTAAGGATAATTATCCAAACCTAGATAATGACAAGTTTCAACTGAAAATTCTCCAGATTCTTCTGAATGTCAGGAATTGGGGAACCCTAGATGAAGAAATGAGAGGGCTGGGGTGTCTCTAAGCAGCATGCTTGTTTTCACTTTTTCCATTGATTCAGTGTGGCTGGGGAAAAGACTTTGGCCCATTTCCTACCTGTTTCCCTTCTTTGAATCATTTATCTTTGGGGCTGATTTGTTTTCCTTTGCAGTCAAGCTGGCCTTTGTTCCTAAGTGTGGCATCTTCTTACTGATGGAATAATTGACAGAAAGGGCTTTTCCATCATATGCCAAAATTTCCTAATCACACCCACTGCATGAAGGCCAAGGCTAGCCTCACAGGAAGCCATGGATTAAGATAGTGAAGACTTGAGTGCCTGGATCTGTGAACCATAATTCAATCTGATGTACCTTGTAATCTCATCTATGAAATGAGGACTAGTGTCTGTACAGCATATCAGGTTATTATGAGCATAACAGGGAGAAATGGAAGAAATGTATTGTGAATAATAAAATGATCTTAAAAGGGAAATATTATTAGCAATACCTAGTAATTTGGGGGGGCTAATTTAACAAGGACGAATGTACATTTTATGTTTACTTAGGAGGAAGTGACTTTGGGGTAAGAGCAATTATTTAAAAATTCAAACAATTCAACATAAAAAATAAAAATTACCAGAAATCCTAATACATGAAAATAACCTATTTATGTTAGGGCTACCATCTCAGAAACTGCTGTGTATATTTAAGAAATGAAAGCTGTATAGGTAGATGGAGAAAACTGTCTTTTTGAAACAGGGCTTCATGTTGAGTGTCATATTTAAGTAAAATTTCATTTTAATTTAGTAGAAGAGAACATGAAACGTAAGAAGATATTCTTAAAATTAGAGTGTTTCCCTTGGAAAAGAGATGCTATAGCTTACGATGCACAGCCTGTGTATTTTAAAATCATGAAAAATTAAGGGTTTGGGGAAGTTTTTGTTTATGGCACACACACATTTCTTTTACAGACATCATTTGTTGACCTACTGCGGTGAAGAAGCAATGAGACTCTCACACGT